AGTGTGTTTCAATTGGTTGAAAGAAGATCTGAGACACTGATATCACAAGGGCTCATGAGTCAGAAGAGTTTCTCTTTTAGTGAAGTAAGTGTCCACATTTTAAAAAATGACATCATTTGTACAGGTTATGCATTAAGCAAATAGCTGACAAGGTTCACATAAGAAAATCTCCCCAAACTTATTTTCCTCCTAAAATAAAGACATAAAGTAAACACCCACTTATGCCATATTGTTTTTAAAAATTACATTTGTGCAAGTGAAAGAGATACTGGTGCACTGATCAGAATTCTGGATTGGGGTGTGAGATTCCAGATTGAGGCTCAGATTCCAGACTCCAAGAACAGGAAAGAGGTCAAAGCTTCCAGGAGGGTCCCTGTGATGACTGCCTGAACAGAACCAACAGAATGACTCTCCTTAAATAAAGAGCAATTACCTCCACCTTAGCTAAACCTGGCCCTGTCTCCATGTACTGATATGTACAGAGCTGTCAGAGCTATTTCCTTTTCCCTTCAATTGACTCTAAGCAATGTAAATAGGGCTGGCTGAGGTACTGATGCATAATCTTGAAGCCCAGGAACAAACCTGCTTCCTCGCCTCAGTGTCTGTCACTAATTGGTTGAGCACAGCAGGATGGCAGAGCCATTGCTCCAGGACCCTCAGCTGGGATGGAGCCTCAAGATAAGAGGCTATGACTTCCCAGGGCAGAAAATTTTTACATATCAGCCCCGAAGCACCAGACCCTAAACATTAAATGCTACTCAATTGTGTTATGCATATTGGTCTCTGCACATCTCCTTCTCTCTGTCTATTGCAGAGATGCTTTCTCCTAGCTCATGTTACTCATGTAATTCCTGCCATTCTCACCATCACTCATCCTTGAGCCACTCCTTTTTCCACGGATTTATAAATTCTGGGTTAGGCCCTGGTTCGAGGCCTTTGTTCCTTGAATGTTGTCTGGACTGGACTCAGGACTCCCTGGCTGACCTTAACTGTAAATATGTCTGAGTGTCTTTATTCTCACCATGGATAGCACTGGAGGTGGTGGATTGGAATTAATTCACCAAGATTCCAATACTGTTTCCATGGGATTACAAATGTAAACTTTCCAGACCACAACAAGGATGGGAATGGGGCTTTAATACCTAGTAGGGCTCTTTTGGGGACTCTCTCCTTGTGCCCCGGGAATTGTGAGTGTAAGTCGTTACAGGAGAAGTCGTCACTTCACAGAACAGCAACTGAACCTGAATTTCTGCTTGGAGGTTAATGAGTCCCGCCCCCTTGGTACAATCAGGCAGAACGTGAACATTCAGGATCCCCGTGTCAGGGTTATAGTGTAATTTGGGCTGGGAGAGGTGGCACTGCAGAGCTGATGGTGTAGACCCACAGACAGAGGTCCAGCTGCTGCACCTAGGGACTGGCCATCACCAGCTGGCCCAGCCCAGTGCTGACTTGGCAGGGTTAGGCAAGGGTGGCCACTGACTGCCTGTCTTTCTCAGCAGAGCTCCAGGGAGCTTTGAACACAAAAGTGTGGGACATATCTCCCCGCCTCTTTTCACTCTGTCTGCTTTCTGATGGGCATTCCACCCCACCCCCTGAATACTGGTCTGATACTTAGACCTTACTGATTCTTTGGTGGGTTTGGTTTCTCTTCATCCTTTGATCTTTGGACGTCATGTGCATTTTGCTACAATAATTGTGTTTCTGGTTTCATCACTGCTTTGTGCTGCTTGCTGCCATCTCACAGAAGACCCTGGGCATCTCCTACCCAGAGGACTTCTCTGGACAGTGGCTCTACCCAGCTTGTCTCACTCCTCTCTTTCCAATATCATTTTCCCTCTGCTGTACCCAAATCTCAGCATCCTCTCTTACCAGGAGGCTGTTGGTGGATGACCTTTCCCATCTGAGTCTGTTTCTGTTGCAGGTGGGGTGGGTATTCCCTTTATAGATTTACTGAGTGTGTGTGTGTTTGTGTGTGTGTGTGTATGTGTGTGTTGTCCACCACAGCCTGTCATTCAAACAGCAGCTAGGTAATTCTAGAAATGGTGCATCCCTCCCCATTTCCCATCCTTCTGACTCATTCTCTGCTCTCAGGTAATGATGTCCTCTTTGCCCCAGCCCTTGTTTTGACCTCACCTTCTTTCCAATCCAGTTAGAATTAGAGACTTCCTCCCTTAGTAGCGGAGGCTGTCTGATTGGCTACCATCACCATGGCAACTCACTGTCCTCTTCCCCCTCCCTCACTTTCCAGAGCCAGCAGATCTCTGGAGTACAGGGTCTTCTGGGCTGGGAGGAATGACAGATTGGGGGTCGGGAGAGGGCTCCCTTGACAGCCAGGACAGCCCCACACTTGGGGTTTGCTTGGATTCCAGATTCTATCCTATATGCAGTGTGGCTACCAATATCTTCCCATACTGAAAGAATTGATTCTGACATCCTTAGCAATCCTGATTGCTTCTGACAGGGGCCAGCTTGGTATTGAGGGTCCCAGATTGGTGCTGTGTGGTCTGCATGGAAAGTGTGCTAACGGCACTTGCTGAATGTCAAATAGAATGTGTTTCTCTTGTTGCCTGCAGTGCTGCAGAGGGGAGGATGTCCTGTGAAGCCCTAAAGGCAGGCAGGGTCAAGCCTTACTCTGGCCAGCGCCAGGCACCTGACAGGTGACCTATGCTCACATGGGGCCTTCTGCAGAGCACCACAGGGTGCTAGGCAGTGAGATGCCATCTGGTGGGTCCTGGCCAGGGGTGGGGCAGGGCAGAGGCTATGACATGGCTTACTTTTGAGCACAGGCTGCAGAGAAAATACACACCGTGGCTTCTGCATGCATTGGTCACCACTTTTAGGTGCTCATTAATGCTATTGTGATAAAAATGATAATAATTTCAAAGTATGGGCTAAGTTCAAAGTAGTTCTATGTCCTTTATGTCTTTTTGCTTTCAGTCAGCATGTCTTGTGTGACAGAGGGGGGAATCTATGCCACTGATATTGAACACACTGTAAAAAGGATGACGAGATGGGATTCTGAAGCAATGTGGATGAAACTAGAAGACATTACGTTATGGGAAAGAAGTCCAACACTCAAAGACAAATACTGTGCTATATGTTAGATTTAAAATAAGCTCTCAAAGTCCCATGTCTATAAGTAGATTAATGCACTGATGACTTCTGAGCTGAATATGCTGTTAGGAAGGGCAGCTGAGTACAGGGACATGCCTTGGGAGGGTACATCACACTCTAGCCCTCCCACTCTCTCTGCTTCCTGGATGTCATGGAGTGAGCAGTTTCCTCTGCCACATCTTTTTTCTGTACCCTCTCTGCCTTGGAGCCACATGGCTATGGACTGAACCCTCTGAAACCAAGACCTGAAATAAATAAGTTGCAAGTGTCAAGTACTTTGACACAGCTATGTGAAAATAACTAATAACACAGTATGATTCCACTTACACGAGATGTTTTAGGATAGGTAAATTTATAAAGATGAAAAGTAGTTAGAGGTGAGGAGGAAAGAAGAGCTATTGTTTAATGGTCTTGATTACTTTTCTCTTGTTGCTAGGATAAAATACCTGGCACCTGAAATGAAGGCAGGAAAAGTTCGTTTAGCTCACTGTGTGTGGAGGTTTCAGTCCATAATCAGTTGGTTCCAAGGCAGGGTGGCATGGCACCCAGTTAATTTCTCAAGGCAGCAGCCAGCAAAAGCAACCAAAACAAAAGGGGAGAAGAGCAAGAAGCTTTTTCTCCTTTATATTGTACACAAGCTACCCCTACCTCCAGGGCTATTGTAACACTCACAAAATCTCCTTGCCCTCCTCTTGCACAGAATGGAGATGTTTACAAAGTAAGAACCTGGCTCTCTGTCAAGTCTCTTAGTTAAACTTCTAAACTTCTCAAGTTGACACAATGAATCAACCATAACAAATGATTCCAGATGTAAGTTAGAGGAGATTAAAAACACCCCAGAGATGGATGGCAGTGATGGTTGGATGACATCATGGTTGGATATAGGACAATATCCTTAAAAATGGGTACTGGAGATGCAGCTCATTGCCTGAAGCCTACATAGCATGCCAAGCATGTGTTCTGTGGACCCCCAGTATCACACATGTGTACAATGGTAAATTTCATGTTATGCATGTTTTGTCAGAGTCTCAGTCTCCCGAGAAAATGGAATGAAAGTTGGGCAGTGGTGCGAGGAGCTGGTGAACACAGGAAGGGGGGCTTCTGTCAGGTGGGGTGACCTGAAAGACAGAATTTTGCTCCATAAGGCACCACCTCCCTCAGTGGCCACACCTCCCTTCTCCAGCCAATGGGCTGAGGTTGAATAGCTGGCAAAGTCTACATCAGGGCTTCCCTCATTCCCCAAGGGGTAGAGGACTAAAGAAGCCATGATGGATAACCCATCCCCTCTGTTCATGATTCCCAGCTCTCAGGAATCACCCAGGTGAGGCCCAGCCTGCTTTCCTACCTGTGGCTCTTTCTGGCTGGTCCTGCCTGACTGAGCAGGCTGTGAGGACAAACGAGAGCTGGGGGCAAATGCCACAGAAGAGAGATGGTGACACCTATGTGAGGGCGGCAAGAGGCGATCCTTGCTGCCCTGAAACACCTGTGTGGAACCCCAACAGCTCTGAGTCTGGGGTCCCTGCAACCTTTCTCTGCATCCTAAGTCCCTTTTCAACCCCTCCAACCCTTCTGACAGAGCTGGAAACGCACACCAAGCCCTGTGGGAAGCTATTTTGAGGTTTCATCTGTTCTCTCTTATTGCTCCTCTAGATTCCATATTCTCCCACCCCCAGATTTGAAAGAGCTAAAGATTCTCAGTCATTCATCATTCCGTCAGCTTGCAAGCTGTGCCTATACCCCCACCTTCACGGTACCACTCCCACTTTCCATCCTCCTCGCCGCCCTCACCCTCTGCCTCTCCAGCAGGCTCTTTGTCTGACATCATCTTCCACTCCCCGGCCTGCTAAGAGTTACTCACTCAGGCAATCCCCGCTCCACCAGAGGAGACTGTCCAATTGCCAAGCAACCCACAATTGGCCAATCAGGAAGCTCTGAGGTGATGTCATAGCGAGAGCGAGCAGTGGTGCTGATGTTGAGAGAAGCCCAGGGTACCACTAATTGAGGGAGTGAGAGGAGAGCAGCTCTCTTCGAACTGGACTGCAGGTAAGTAGAGATGAGATGTAAATAATGGGAGGCTTTTTAAGCAAAAGAGAGAAGCAAAACCACAGGCACAGAAGGGAAAAGGGAAGAGTAGGGAGCCTATTGTGTTATCTTTAGTTCCACTCAATCAATTAAACTTTGTCAAACCCTAAGGGAAAGAGTGAGAGACAGAAAGGTTGGTGCAGGTCAGAGGGAGGAAGGTGAGCTCCAGGTGGCATTTTCCCTCTGGAGCTCAGAGAAGAGAAGGGGTGGGGAGTATCGGAAGTCCATGGTGAGTTATTTCTGCATGAAGATGTTTTGCTGCTGTGGGAGAGATTTGTTCAAGAGCTTGGCAGTGGACCTGACCTGGACCCCTTTTCAAGCTGGAAGTTGCCCTGAGGTTGATGCTTTCAGCTGTTCTTGACCTTCCCATTTTTGTCACCTGTCTTTTCTCTCCCCTCCATCTCTCCACCACCTCACTTTTTTCTCTTGGTCCTGAGGGTACGATGAGATCATCACCTCTCCTTGGCCCCGCCCCACCCTGAGATTGACCTGATCCTACCTGGTGGGGTGGACGGCCCTAAAGCTGAGGCTGCAGGAGCACACAACGCCACACCCTGGTTCTGGGGGCCTAGGACAGCCCCCCTTTGATCAGCCTATCACCTTCACCTGGAGTTCAGGCATTGTCCCTTTCTCTTTCCAGGACCCAGGGCTTTGATGTCCACTGGGCAGCTCTGTCCCCACGTGGTGGTGCTGTCTTTGTTTTATTTCTCTCAGGAAGGTACAATCAGGGGTGGAGGAGCCTCATTGTCCCAAGTCTGGGCAGGTCTCCAGGATGCTGCGGGGGTGGTGGGGTCAGATACGATCAGGCTGCCCCCGTCTGAATCAGCCAGGCAGGGATAACCTGGCTCCCAGGACCAAGAGACCACTAGGTAGGAGTGGCTAGGGGTGGCCCACTGGAGTCCGGAGGGCTGGGTGGGGTACAAGAGGGAATGTGGGGGAATCTGTCTCCATGGAGGCTGAGCCCCTCGAGGGGGAGGAAAGCTCTCCCAGGCGGTGCCAGGGGGAATGAGATCATACATCAGATGTGGAAATAATCCTGGTGCTGGAGTGGAGAGAGAGCGGAGGGGGCAGGTCTGAGTCGCAGCAGCTCTTCAGAAGGGAGTCAGAGCCTCCCAGCACCCTGCCCTGCTTCTAGCTTGACCACCCCCTCGCTGGCCTGTTAGGAGCTGCTGAGTCCCTCCCAGCTGGTCCAGACCCGGGCTCTCCCTAGCTCCCCCCAGCCTTACCTGGAGCAGCTTTGCAGTGAGCATGGTGGGCTCCTCACAGAGCATGTGACCTGTGGGGCGTGAGTCCCCCATCGTAAAGGCTTTGGAGTAGGAGCGTGGTGACACCCAGCAGGGAGGCAGTCGAGGACATTTCTGCATGGCACTGGAAATAGATCTAGATTAGTGTTCTTCAGAATGTGGGTGGAGACCATGTAGGTTGTGAAATCAATTTTATGAATTGTAACTTTTAAAAATAAAAGGAGAGAAGATAGAGAAACCAGACAACACCCTATATAATAGGTAAATCCCATTTCACGTGCCTTTTGTAGTTGCATGTGTTCAGTGATGTGTACATTGGTGTGTACAAATGGGTGCCTGTATATATGTCCCTGCTGGGGTGTATGACAGAAGGCATCGCTGTCATCATGGGTTCAAGTCAGTGATGTTGAGAAACATTAGCCATGTGAACTTCACTGGCCTCTTCCAAGTTTATGGCTACAAGTCTACAGAAAAGACTTGTGGAGCTTTTTTAATTCTGAATTTTTCATTGTGATACATACATATATATAAACTTACCATCTCAGTTTGTTTTTTAATACTGAGGATCGAACGCATGACCTCACTCTTGCCAGGCATATTCTTATGCCACTGAGCTAAATTCCCAGGCCTTCTCTCAGTTATTTTTTAAGTACACAGTTCAGTGGTACTAAGATGTACATTTCTGTGTATCCAATATTCAGAAATTCCTTTTCTTACAAAATTGAAGGTCTGTGCCTGTTAAACCCCAACTGCCAATTCCCCCTCCCCCAGCCACCGTGACCTCTGTTCTCGCTTCTGCCTCTACGCATCTGACTGCTCCAGGTGCCTCTGTCAGGGGAATTCTACAGTGTTTGTCCTTTTGTGACCGGTTTATGATACTTGGTGTCTTCTAGGCTCATTTGAGTTGTAGACTGCATGTCTTCACTACCATGTACAAAATAGGATCCTAAAGTTAAGTTTAAATCTCAGCAACTTTTGAAATGGGAGGCTGTTCAGTGAGAGACTGTGTTCTAAAGGACTGGAGAAAGACAAGGACCTTTGGTCCAGCATCACCCGCCCTGAGCAAACTGCTTATCAGGCACACAGCAACCCCCTCTCACCTGTAGTTCGTTACCACGGTTTGTTTCTGTTGCATGTGATCAGCATCTGAAAATATTAAATGGAGAATTCCAGAAATAAGCAATTCATGAGTTTTAAATAATTTTTTCAGTATTTTTTATAATCCTGCTACTTATTGCTAGTTTTTCTATGCCTAATTTATGTGTCAAACCTTACCATAGGGAAACATAAGCAAAAATACATACAGGATTCAGACAATCCAGGGTTCCAGGTATCTGCAGATCCTGCTGGAAGTGTCTCCCTCGGATGGGAGGGGAGCACTGGATGCATCCTGCTGGCAGAGGGGCAGTGAGAGGGTCATGCACTGTGCTCAGATGGGTGGTTAACGCCTAGATTTCATTTTGGTTCTATTAAGTGCGCCCAAAGGCTAACAGAGGCTACCCACCTTCCCTGTCTTTCCTGGGCCACTAAAACCATTTGTAAGGCAGGAGGGAAGCAGGTCATCTGATGGTATTTAAAACACAACAACAAAGACAACAAATTAAAATGCAAAGAATAACACAGCTCAACAAGAAAGAGGAACATAGAGAAAAGAAATCAGGCAAGAGAGCGATGAAGAGGAGCTGGTGTCTATAGTAAAGAGACCATATTGAAAGAACAGGAAAAACTCAGATATTTTGTGTTCTTGGTTTTAAATACTAGCATATATAATTATCAAGATCATAGCCAAAGTAAAGTTTAATTTTTCTAGGGCCCCCTAAGAGTCTATCTTATATGTCCCTTTTGATATCTTTGTGTGTGTGTGTGTGTGTGTGTGTGTGTGTATGTGGTTGCTGGTGATTAAACCCATGGCCTTTCCACTGTTGTTACTAAGATCTTGCTAACTTTCTAAGTTACCCAGACTGGGCTCGAACTTGTGATCCTTTTGTCTCAGCCTTCTAGTGAGCTGGTATTACAGATGTGTGCTATACCTGGTTCCCTTTTGAAACCTTTATATTAGTCCCTCCTTACCTGGAGATTGTCATCTGAAGATGGAATTCCCAGAGATTTTGAAGTCCTAGGTGGAAAGAAATAGTACTGGGGGTGGGGGGTAATTTAAGAGGAATTGTGACATCCCAAATGTAAGTTTTTAACTAGAGATATAAACATGTGTCATGTATTATTTGGTTTTGCTTATCAAGTTTGAACTTGCTATATTTAAATATATGGCACTCTGGGAAAGTTTTCTCTGTTTTTTTTCCCTTTGTGGATGGGGTAAGCAACCCCAATCTCCCTTGGAATTATATAAAACCATTTTTCTGGGTTCCCACACTCTGACTCCAAAGGCAGACCGGAAGACATACACAGAAAGCCTCCAAACATATGTCTCTCCCACATCCCCCCACACACATACATGCACAGACCTATTCTTTTTTCAGCAAAGTCCAGAGCTCATTGGTCCTTCCCATCAATTAGAGCTGTATCTTTCCCTTAGGGCCCGCTGTTCCCATTGGGTGGTGGGAGGGAGAAGAATGGTACAGATCAAAAGGGGCAGGAGCCTAGGGTGACCAGCCTGATTTACGACAGGGCACTGGCAGACCGAGAGTTTGGAGAACAGGCTGCCAGTGTGAATCCAGAGGTCAGAGCTGAGCTCAGACTTGGTGGGTGGGGGGGAGTGCGGGGCAGGTTTCTATGTCTCAGAAGGTCATCAGGGCGTCTGTCCAGAAATTCTGACTAAATAGGGAGGCAAGTTCAAGCTGAGCATGGGGAACAGCTGGGCCCTGCGCAGTGTACTTCAGGCCAGTGTTCAAACACAAGCACAGCCCAACTATGGATCCTGGACAGAGCTGCCTGTAATCTGGTCCTGCCACCAAAACAGACACACCAGGATTCACGAAGCATTCCATGAACCTTTCCTGGAGGGAAAAAGGAAATCACTCCAGGTTCTCTCACTCAGCAAGAAATTATCAAAATAAAAATCTCAGGCACAAAAAAGGACATGTTATCAATAATGGTCACAAGCAAAAAGAAAAACCACTAAGCTAAGCAATGCACTTAAAAGACTGTGCAGACACCAAATGTCTGGAGGCTAAGGAATACGTTTATTAAGTTCATCACTGTATTCCTAGTTCCATGTCTCCCGCATGGAGCAGTTTCTCAACAAATATTTGTTGAATGAAAAATGTACTGAAGAAATCAATAAGGATGGCCTAGAATTGAAATCTGGTTCATTCTGACAAAATTATGTTTGTAGAGAAAGGAAACAAATTTTGCTAAATCTTACACAAAGAGAGTCATATCATTTTATATAGTGAATACGTCTAAAAACAATTTTGACTTAAAGCTAAAATTAAAAATAATATGTAAAACTGAAAAAGCATCGGAGAAGAATGAAAGAACTAAAAGCGAGAGCAATATTGAAAAAGATAAGGGGTTCTTTTTAGTGCGGTTCAGTGAGGGCCACAAAGCACGACTCTGCTCTTCCTTGGAAAACTTAGGCGAAGCATAGAGCTTCCTGGACTCTGTTTCCTTATCTGAAAAGGACTAGGAAGTTCTAGAAATTTCCATGGCTTTGTCCGCCTCTGGCACTGCAGCGTGGGCAGAGAGCTTGACCCTCTGGAGATGTCTACACATACTACTGCTTGTTCTCTCCTGCTGTGAAAATGATTCAGTTTATTG